GAAATTATTGAGAATGGATGTTCATTGATTTATAGTGTTGGTGCAAAACCATCCTGAATGTTGTTACATATTTACTGTCATTTCGTAGTGGAATACATAAACATTGAAACTTGGAATTTTATTATTCATAGTATAGCTTATGGCACACACTAGGTCGGGACAGTACGGATGGATCGTACACAGTGGATTTTTAAAGAAATTGGGGCATTGTTTACTCCAGTGATGTCCCCACTAGGCTCATATTATCCTGTCAAGATGATTCGCACCTTTCACCGTACTCGAAAAAATCCAAGGAAATATTTTCAGGACATCCCGACGCATTGAAACGATGGTATCCGCTCACTGCAGTACATACAGTACGGTCGTTCTGCCGTTTCAGTTTGATTATTGAATTGAATTTCCTTCTACGAGAGAAGGAAATATCAGGAGCAGATAGTTGTTGGTTCACAGATCTATCAAAAATACCTCTAGAATCTGGTACAAGTGTTTTCAGTCGCAGACCTAGGACAGAGATATCAACCTGCCTAGGAACCTAGGCGACTGAGATACCAGCCAGTTCTGTTCGGACCACGCTGGTATTTCCTCCCATTCCCCACTTAATCTTTAGGCTTAGTGATCTGGAATATACTCCACACCCTGAGTCTTCTTTGGTTTTTGAGCCGTCTGTGTAAATCCGTATTGCATTTATATCATCTGACTCTATGGTCCGCTTTATTTGTATTTTGTAGGGTTTAATAAACACAAACCTGGGTTCAATTGCATCGCTTGTTGCCTGCAGCAGAGGTTGCGCAGTAAACGCTTCCCGCCACAGGCTAGGCCTCAATTCACCCATTCCTACTTCGAGGTTTACACCAACCATGTGCAATCGTACCATGGCCATCAAGGCAACCTCCTTCACGTACAGATCAAGAGGGGTCAGGCCCGTGATTAATTCCATTGCCGCGGTTGGTGTTGTTCTCATGGCTCCTGTGATGTTTAAACAAGCCATTCGCTGTATTTGGTATAATTTTTGGATGGCCGTTGCTTGTAGAACTTTCGGTCCCCATCCATGCAATGGCTCCATACGTTGACATAGTGTAGATCCAGGTGACCACACAGGTGCGCGTCCCACGGTCCTCCGACATTGCTCATAAGCCACGTATGCTCTTTTTGCTCTACTCTGTAGATGAGAGTTCCATGTTAGCTTCTTGTCGAGGATAGTAGCAAGGTATTTCACATCTTCAGAGAAGTTTAGTTTGCTTTTGAAGATTTCGGGAGGTTTTAAGTCCGTTAAACTTCTTTTCCTGGTGAAAAGGACCATCTCAGTCTTCTTGGGATTGATTGATAGTGAGTGTTCCTCACACCATTTTTCTATTAATTTGAGCCCATCCTGCGCTCTATCGCACAGTGTATTTACAAATTTGCTGGTTTGCAAGATAACTATGTCATCTGCGTACGCAATTGTGTAGAATCCATTTTTATTAAGGTGATTAATCAGGGTATCCAGAACTATGTTCCAGAGAAGGGGTGATAAGAACCCTCCCTGTGGACATCCCCTCATGTCCAGTCCTTCCACTGTGATGTCTTCTACATTAATACTTATTGCTCTACTAGATAGCATCTTGAGTATCCATTCTCTCACTACCAGTGGTGCTGGGTGATTGTTGGGAAGGTTGTTTTATCAAACGCTCCCTCGATATCTATGAATATACCCAGGGTGGATTCTTTGTTGTCCAATGATCTCTCGATTCTGCCAACCACATGTTGAAGGACCGAATCAGTAGACCTTCCCGGAGTATATGCATGCTGATTTGGATGAAGTGGGTTGTGAACTAGTACATCATCTCTTATGTACCGCTCACATAGACTTTTCATGGTTTTCAAGAAAAACGCTGTGAGACTAATTGGTCGGAATGCTTTTGGTAGGGTATAGTCCATCCTACCTGGTTTGGGTATAGATACTACTCTTACTTCTCTCCACTTACTGGGAATATACCTCAGAGCTTGAGAGGCTCTGAATATTCCAACCAGGTGCGGCATAAGAGTGTCTAGTCCCCACTGAAGTAGGGCTGGTCTTATACCGTTAGGTCCTGGTGACTTGAAGGGGGAAAAGCCCGATATAGCCCATCTTATTTTGTCCTCATCAATTACTGCACTAGCAGATTGCCAGTCGTATTGTGAGGGTGTTGTTGGTACATCTTTCCAGTTCGTCGTTCCAGGAAAGACAGAACCTGGGAAGTGAGTTTCCCTAAGAATCTCAGCACTCTCCTGGAGGTTGGCGGCTTATTCGCCATTTCCCCTCGTCAGGATGCAGATACTCTTATGGTGGTCATTTGAGAGTGCCTTCTGTAGCCTAGAAGCTAGTGGGAAGTCTTCGACTGACTCACAATAGGCTCTCCAGGCTTCTCTTTGCTTTCTTCTACAGACTTTTCTTGACCTCTCTGAGGTTGGCTTGATATATACCCAAGTCCCAGGCTTTTCCGTAGGTAAATGCTCGCTTTCTTTCGAAGATTAGTACTAAATGCAAAAGCTGTGAATGCCATAAGGCTATCGCAGTCTAGCCTAAGATTTCTAGGTCCATGTAGTATATAACTTTTGAGTAAAGCCACCAGGTCACTCTGAATAGGTTGATTTGAAATCTGTTCGGTATGTTTAATGGGTTCGTATGCATATAAATCCTAAAATGTTTTCAAGTAGCAGTTGAATTTGTGAGCTTGAGAAAAATAGTGGACTCCTTTGATTTCTGTATCAGAATTATCTATACCAATTTCCAAAGCAAGTAACGTACAGTCATTTATGGTTTATAAAAAAACTGCCTGATAATTGATCATAATATTTATTTCGGAAATAAGCTTATTTTTGAAACTTGTTTATAGAATTGGGTAAGAAGCTTTATCAGCGATACCGCATAAGTTATTGGCATCTCGCTTGATCCTGAAGTATCCTTGCTCTCCCCAGTCTTTTCCCCAGGAGTTTTTCACCTTCCAGAACTTTTTCTTGCCGAACAAATGGTCTTCCTCCCCATACCCGACAGCCAGCACTCCATGGTTCAGATCATGTGTGCAGAATAATCCATCCAGAATTCCTCCGAAATATAGTTGAATTGGGTCAGCATCGATGGCAACTGATACGGGACCAACGGTTCCTGAAAGCAAAAGATTTATCACTGCAGAGAGAGAAAGATCTCATATTGATCGATGAATCACAGGACATATAGCAGGCAGTTACCGTATCTACGTACAACTGACATTCTTCCTCATTCACTCAAAAATTTTTCCTACTGTGATGAAGATCTCATTCACTAAACAACAAACTGGAAATGCCTTCAGAACTACTAGGAAATCAGTTTGAAGAAATCGATACAAAAAATCTCCATTTGATTGAGAAATCTCTCGAAAAAATTCAGAAATACTCATCAATAAAACTCATCAAGTATGTGTTACACTCATATAATATCCCAGCTTAAATCTAGCTGGGCGCGTCCTCAGATGGCGCGTCCTCAATCCCGAGGCTGGACAGAGTGCTCATCTCAATCTGAGAAAAGTTTTCAGTGATAACGAATATTCGTTGACTTTAATGAACGATGGTATACCTCAGGGCTCCGTTCTAGGTCCGCTTCCATTTCTAATATTCATCAATGATCTCTAACTATTTTAAATCATGTATGATGGAATCGAACGATAGTAAAGACACTTCTGAAGAATCTATTGTCTAGCGAAACACGTGTTACTGTTTTTTAAATATATGAAACCATGTCATAGTGTCCTGTTTGCTGACGACAGGACTTTGTTCGTTTGAAAACCAGGATTCCTGAAAGTGAGGTTAGGAGAAAGTGACTTCAGAGTGTGGAAGAACGAATATCAAATATCCTTACGTAATATGGGCCTTAAATCCTAATTTTTGACACCAAGTTGGTAGTTGAAATCGCGAACCATGAAAGCTCACATGTTATGTGAAGACTGGCAAAAATTATGCAAAGAAAACAGGAATATTTTATATGGATATTGTTATAGATAGCCAGGCCATACTCAGGGTTCTGGTGAACGCCTATAAATTATATTTTACTGGATGTCAGGTTTTTATATATACTTGAAAGCGATACACCTCCCTAAAATTCGCATCTCTTCTTCATTTCGAAGAACTTTATTTCGAAATGTAGAGTTCAAAAAACTACTTTGGGACCAAATATTATCTTCCTAAGCGAGATAAAATTGAACTTGTACGCCTTGTTGGAGATAATGCCCTTGCGGCAAGAGAAGCAGACAGAACATTTCGTAATAGACTTCCAATGAGCAGAAGTACGGTGAACCATATAAATTCTGTTTTTAATGAAACAAGTTATCTATCGAGGCATATGCTCAAAAACAGAAACAAGTCACATCGTGAGGATAGAAATGTTGTGCGAATATTGCATAATTTACGTGATAATCCTCACTCAAGCTTGCGAATGGCTAGTTTGAACTCAAATATTTCTATAAAGAGGATATTAGGAAGCGCCTTGTGAAAATAAAATTCAACCATTCAAACCAAAAATTTTACACACTCTGGAACCGGGAGATGAAGAGAGAAGGTTGAAATTCTATTTGTGGGCTTGAGGATAATATTTGAATGATATAAACTGCTCCCAAACAATTTTGTTTATTGATGGAGCTATGTTCGTGCAAATGGGGTAGTCTCGTCCCAAGTCACTGGTCTGCGAATAATCCTAATATTTTTCGATGAAATTTGGTATATCACCATAAGGGAGGGGGCCCAGTTCAATGGTGTCTCAGAGTATTTTGAATGGCAGAATTTCACATGAAATAAATATTTGAGGAGTGAGCCAGGCATGAATAACAATAATGGACTGAGGGGAAAACCTAGGTCGTTGGTACAGAAAACAATACAGAAATTGGTCGAAGAAGAACATACAGAATACTGGTAGACCAAGCAGGAAATACACACTGGAAAACATTGATGAACCTGCCTGGAATCATTTAAAAAATTCTCAACGAAAATCATTGCCACGATGTATCCGAAAGCTCGTTATGATTCATGTGAAATGAAAGATAACACGTGTTGACCTACAACAAGTCAAATGAATCCTAAGCAGCAGAATAATCAATGGAAGTTTCTATCCATTTATCATGGTTCCTGATCTGAATCATAGATCACCAACTGAATTCTACTCACCAACAGCTTTCTTCAGTTCTTCTTCTGAGATGCTGACATTTTTGTAACCCTTGATTTTCAAAACCGTTTTTTTAGCGTCGTATTGGCACGGGGTATCTATTCCCTTGTACGGGTAAGAACTATCTGCTTCGATTCCTTTGTCTAGGACATAATCAAAAGCGAAGCTCATCAGGCCTCCATGTTCGCAATCATCATTACCGTAAGGTTTGGAACAGTCCAATAGCTGCTGTTCACTCAAAGGAATCTTCACATTATTGACAATGGCATTCTGTCCTTCCAAAGCTCCAGTCTGAAAAGAGGACATTAACGTTAGAAAATCTATATAAAGTAGGTAGTAAAAACGATTAGAATTATTGTAGAGGGATAATCCAACTAGTTAGAACTTTTCCCCAAAGAGATCGTAGTCACACCTGATAGTGAATTTTCAGTGGCAATGGCCCTCTATAGATCAAAACGTTTACAGAAGCCTACTAGAGTAATGTCAGAAACTTCTACTTTAGCGAAACTCCATTGGGAATTCCAGAAAACTGTTGTGAAAGCAACTGCCAGAAATTATATACGACGAGTTTGAAACTTCATGATACGTTTGCATATTTTGTGACTCCTTCTGTTTCAATTACTTTTATATAGCAATCTAATCTGGGTAAAATACGAATCATTCTGTTTTGGTTGGTGTCCGTCGTCGTCGTACGTCGTACGTCGTCGACGTACCTTTCTTCATATATTCTCAAGGCTCTATTCACTATGGTGTTGATGACGGTACGTTTCTGTTTTAGAGGATGATTGGATCCATTATGTAGATATCGATCTGTGTACGTTTTCTTCCTGTACATCTTATGACTCAGTTGACTACCTTCCTTGATGACTAAAACATCAAGGAAAGGGATTTGTAGGTTCCCTTCTGATTCCGTGGTGAACGATATTGTTGGATGGGAACTTTCTATGGCTCCGAACAACAAACGTGTCATCTACAAATCTCAATCAGTGCTTTGATAGTTTTTCTGAAGTGAGCATATATTTCTCTTCTTATTTTTACAAATTAAATTTCGCCACTACAGGGCTAAGCGAGCCGTCCATGGCGACTCCATCAACTTGTTTGTTCATGAAAGGTTTCATTCCAATGGACGTTAGTTATCGTAAATGTCGAAATAGGTCAGTCTAGGTCAGTCTCGAACGAATGTCTTCGGCCTCCCAACATGTATCTGCAGCATATCCAACAAATGCTTGCTGATCCTATGGTACTTCATATCGGTCTTAGTGGTACATACTCTTTGTGAATTAGAACCTTAGTGGTAATGTTTCTGATCTGCAGAGTTCCTTCCATGTTTCTGGGGATTTTAAGCAAAGAAAACCACGGCAAAACTCGGAATCCAACCTAAACATTGACGCTAACTGTAAAAGCCTACATTTCTATACAAATCATTCTGTCAACAAAATTCAATCAACAGAGAATGGAAGATATTGAAAACAACCACGTTCCTGTAGTTCTACACTATTATTACTATCAATTATGATTTAGTACTAAATAAGTTTCCATTTCAAGTCGTTTATATTCTTGAACCTACCTACAACTCTTCAAGATAGAAAACAACTCACCGCACTGAAAGCCCAGCACGAACCACAACCTCCTTGATATTTAACATCGAGGACAGCTCCTTTTTGAGTCCAATCGATAGAGTCTGGAACCTCTAGACCTTCGGGAAATACAGCTAGTGTGGCTTCCACGTTGGGTTTGGTCTTGATCTGCCGTCTGAGCTTATCCTTGAATTCATCGTGGGTCAAGTCAGCAAATGGGGTGACACCCAAGAAATAACTCTCTTCTCCCTTATCATACTTGGCATTGTGTTCCTCGATCTTTCTCAGGTTGGACTGGAATATTCCGAATCTAGTCCTCTCTTCAAGCAAGCTCTTGTAGGTTTTTCCATGGGTTTGCTACAAAACAGTGTGAATTAAAATATCGCAACGTTCGATTTTTCAAAGATTGTTTTCCAGAAGAAAAGATGAATGGAAAAAAATGTATTATTGAAAAAACAGTTGACCCTTACATTTCTGATGTATCGAAATGTAACAGATTGTGTGTGAAATGTTAACATATCTGTATCTGTATCTATAAAGTAGGGGGAGGGGGTAAGTGTAGGCCCTCAACACTTAGGCCACATGTGACTCAATGTATCTCCTCCCGAAGAGTTGTCCTTCTAGGTCATCGTCCATCCTGTTCTTTCCAGGAAGGTATATAGATCACTGAGAGACAGCTCCTTTATATCGGCAGGTGTATATCTTATGGACGATAACTCTGGACACTCGCATAGGACATGCCTGACAGTTTCATTTTCCTGTTCACACATCCTGCATAGAGGTGTGTCCACTAGCCTCATATTATGCAGGCGTTTTCTTAGTTGACAGTAGCCAGTCAGAAATCTTACTGTCAAGCGTAGATTTTTCCTGGACATCGCTAGATATTTTTTCAGCGCCAGCTTCCCAGGTTCGCCCAGGGTGATCCTGGCAAGATCCCATCTCTTCAGGGATTGAGCATGGGTGTGCCGTTTGGCTAGTTCCTCAATTGTCGAAGTCCTCAGGCCGTAGGTGTCACTGAGTCCTAAAATTCTTAGTCCAGCCGGTTCCCTGGTTAAAAAGGCGCCAATGCGAATTATTTACTCCTGTCGTGCCTTTCAACCCACCTTAGGATAATGTTATTATCTACCGAGGCTTTGGCTAAATCTTGGTGGCACTCTAAAACTAGCTCTGAAGTAACACGTTGTCATATGTTATGTTAACATATGATAAGTCTGCTATGAGTGAAACAAGAATTGAAGAATATTATAAACGTGTCCAAGATGGTCGTAACGACGGTGAAGATGACGGGCGCCTCGGACGTCCTATCACATCAACAACCGATGAACATGTAGAAAAAGTTAATTGTCTGAGCCATGTCTGATAATTGGCCAGACATGGCTCTCCTTCCCTTTCCTCTATTCCCAAGAGAGCCTACCAAGAACCACCGTTTTATTAGCGAAGATAACATTGAAAGCGCATTGCTGATAGATCTTAAGGTTTTTCCAAAGTTTTTCCAGAAGTGTTTTGAAAATTGCAACAAGCATTGTCACAAGGGTACTATATCTCAAAGAAAATATTTTGAAGGCGACAAACATTGATGTTAACAGCCGCCTAAGAGGAAATATTGGGTTTAGGTCTCCTAAGTGGAACCACAAATGTGCGGTAGGCTCTTATAGACTAGGTTCGTTCGTGTTGTTTCCTATTTTCGACAACCAAGTGTTGCCCATCATCGTCCTTGCCTATAGCGCGCTGATGAGGCCCTTTCCCCCTCCTTTTCTGAAGTGCTGTTCCGTGAATTTCCCTCCTTTCATATAAGCATATATGTAGTTGACACTTCATTGAATAAAGTCTTTTTTAATTGATTCATTCCTTCCTTTCTTTGCAAGGTTCCCACATTTATGAAGTGCAACTTCTCTATGCTCGCTTGACTTGGGGAGTAAGCTGGTGAGTGCGTAACGAAATCGTTACAAAAGTGTGGTCGAGAGGAACGAACGAAAGAGTAGAGGGAGGTTGGTGAAGATAAAAAGAAACAGTTACTGTAGGGGCAAGAGAGAGAGAATGAGTTGCGAGCTCATATTTACGATCGGATAGACTCCGAAGAATCAGGAAAAACGAGCATTCGTTGTCAGTGATTTTAGCAAAGGATTTCAATGTTAATTTCGCGTCCAGAGATGGAAGACTCTTGGCAAACTTTCTACATCAGCTCGACTGGCTGAGTTAAGAAATAACGCAGGAAGTGAAATAGGGTGTAGCAGTCAGAGACAGAAACACTGTAAAACACTTTTTTCTGATCAAGCTTTCGATGCGTTCATTGTCTCTTCATCAGGAACTGTACAATAATTCTTGAATAAACAAAGGTATGTATGTAAAGATTAAAATTGGAAAGATATAATCACGTATTATTTTCATGATGAAATGAGGTGATTGCATAAATAATATGTGATTAAGTATCAGGTTGTCGGACATGATTGACATAACACATTGAGTTTGACAGAAAGTTTCTTGTTCTGACCATTTCAGGGGTGTCAATGAGATCTCACAGAACTATAAAATGATCTATAACAGAGTGTGAAGGTAAAGAGTTTTCTTTACGGAATTATCAATTGTTATGAAATTTATTATATTCATTCGAACAACGGAGATGAGTCTAAACCAGGCTTAGACTTTCGATGTCTGACCTGAAATTATTACTATTTGAATTTTTGAATATATGACACATTTCTAAGAAAGTTCTTTTTTGACTATTATTTTCTGAATCTCAACTTTGAACATTATCAAGAGAAAAGCCATGAGCTAAGTCAATAGTGGGTTTCATTTCAGTTGTGTGGTCTAAAGCACACTTGCTTTTTTTGTATGGAGATGGAGGAGTAGAAAGTCAAAACCTCTTCTCAAAAACTAATTTTCGAACTGAATCTTTCTTTCATTACCTTGAAAGCCACCCATTGGTCTTTGTCGGTGAGAGCATTGACTGCTAACAAAACGGTTGCGAAAACAGCAAGGAGTTTCATTTTGATTTTTCTGAAAAATAAAACGTTGTTAATAGGGGAAATTCAGGAAAAACTCATTTCATTTTCACAATATCATACTAACAAAAATACTGATGATAATCAAGAAGTGTCGAAACTGGTTTCATTACCCAGAAAGAATTCTCTTAGACAAATTTGTATCGACAAAACTCATGTCATGACTAGTTTATCTCTTTTCATTTTTTTCTAGATGATCACGACAGTACATGCAAGAGAATGATTTTCAGGAGGAACACTGTGATTCTTCAAGATCCAAACTTGGAAGATACAAACACTTGCCTGAGTTTGATTTGAAATCGAATATGACACGTTAACTAAGCGTTAGTTTTGTTTTTGTCTTCATATTCTCTAACAATATCGACTTTGTAGTTTCAGAAACCACTCTTGTTTCGTCGATTTTTTTCAGCACCTCGACACCTGTTTCGATCACCAAGTGATCATCTTCAAGAGGAGATCAAACTGCATCGAATTCCTTCAAGAAATCTGGATGGAGTCAGAAGCATACTTCAATTTGATATGAAATAAAACTCTTTCCAGTTGGAATGAAAGTTGGTTTATCAGTTGAGGAATTGCATTTTCCAACGATACACTTTTGTGACATAGACCAGATACGTTTCTCTGCAGTCATACTACCTCAAGGCTATTTCTAGGAAAAATTATCGAGTTGGCTTCTATATATTCGTCCAAATAAAAATGCGACACATCACCTTTATCTCATTCGTCAACATGATGTATTGTCTTTATCAAACCGAGAAACAATAAACGTGTGTTAGAAGGAATTAACTGAATTAACTAAAGATACAAATTCAACAAATAATTGATTATTGAACAAGAAAACACGAGTAATCAATATGAGTAGTGAACAATCATAACTATTGAAAACTTTATTATTTTTGTTAATTGTACAAAATTGAATATGTGAACACCAGTGAAATAATCAATATGACCAAACGACCAACTGTGAAGTTTCCCCTTTTCGATATATGAATATTTGGACGGTTCTGGCATATATACGATCCTTCATTTTTGATTTTATTCATTAAATACCTTCTCTTTCAATTGATTTTTGAATTTGATAGCGGTTTTAGATTTTTTAGTTCTTCAGGAATTATATTATATATCATAATTCCATCATGATGAATCAATTAATTTCCAAAATCAGATTCAAATCCATCAAATCATAATAATTTTGTTTGTCTAGGATTTTGACTATGAATATTTTTGATTTCTATAGAATTCATGTTTGAAATTTATTCTTTATTGAATGAATGAAACAGCATATTTATTGTTTGTATAGTGTGTTCGAATTTGATTTTTTTGGTTTATTCAAACTCAGTGTTGATTCTCGCCACAATGATTCATATATGCATTTAATAGTTTCATTCTATAAAGATTTCAATGGTTTGCTGATCCACGAATAAAAATAAAATAATGCAGCTGTGGGTATATAAGTCTGTCGAAAATTAAAGAGGCGTATAGTTCCTGACTTTGACTTTGAGTTCATAATATGTACATTTCCATTAATATTCAATCATGTTTTTGTGTCAATTGGGATATTATGACAAAACCATCACTCGAGAAGTCCTGAAGTGTAAAACATTTAGTTGAGCAAAAGTGTTTTCCAGAAAAATAGATGGAAATCAACTCGATTGATGTTTCCATTTAAAATTTTTTTTTTGAATCTCCAGCGGAATTTGTGAAAACTCATTTCGTAACATTTGCTTGTAATGTGCCTGTGATTATTCAAAATACATAAGATTTATCATCATTCAAAGCACATAAATCAATCAATCATTCATAAATCAAAATTCGGACTCAAAAATTGAAAACTAGCGTGGAATTCATTCGTTATTTCGAAAGAATTTCAAAATGAATATCAAGTTAGGTATCTGAAGAAAAGTTATTATAGAAACGATAATAAAGTCAACTTACCCTAGTGGAACAACAAAATGAATATGTCTAGACCTGCAGAAAATCACAATTTATACCTTTATTTTTATGTCGTCAGCGCTACTTCAAAATATTAAAATTAAATAAAATATCTATGGAATTTGCACATCTGATTTCCACGTGAACAAATCAATCATATACCTATCATCTTTTTTATCTTAGATACTAAAAAGTCGACATTTTTACTATTATTTTCTGAATCTCAACTTTGAACATTATCAAGAGAAAAGCCATGAGCTAAGTCAATAGTGGGTTTCATTTCAGTTGTGTGGTCTAAAGCACACTTGCTTTTATTGTATGGAGATGGAGGAGTAGAAAGTCAAAACCTCTTCTCAAAAACTAATTTTCGAACTGAATCTTTCTTTCATTACCTTGAAAGCCACCCATTGGTCTTTGTCGGTGAGAGCATTGACTGCTAACAAAACGGTTGCGAAAACAGCAAGGAGTTTCATTTTGATTTTTCTGAAAAATAAAACGTTGTTAATAGGGGAAATTCAGGAAAAACTCATTTCATTTTCACAATATCATACTAACAAAAATACTGATGATAATCAAGAAGTGTCGAAACTGGTTTCATTACCCAGAAAGAATTCTCTTAGACAAATTTGTATCGACAAAACTCATGTCATGACTAGTTTATCTCTTTTCATTTTTTTCTAGATGATCACGACAGTACATGCAAGAGAATGATTTTCAGGAGGAACACTGTGATTCTTCAAGATCCAAACTTGGAAGATACAAACACTTGCCTGAGTTTGATTTGAAATCGAATATGACACGTTAACTAAGCGTTAGTTTTGTTTTTGTCTTCATATTCTCTAACAATATCGACTTTGTAGTTTCAGAAACCACTCTTGTTTCGTCGATTTTNCACACATCCTGCATAGAGGTGTGTCCACTTGCCTCATATTATGGAGGTGTTTTCTTAGTTGGCAGTGGCCATTCAGAAATCCTACTGTTGAGCATAGATTTTTCCTGGCCATCGCCAGCTTTCCAGGATCGCCCAGGGTAATCATGACAAGATCGCATCCTTTGATTCCATTCCATCTCTTTAGGGATTGAGCATGGATGTGGCGTTTGGCTAGTTCCGCAATTGTCGAAGTCATAGGCCGTAGGAGTCACTAGGTCCTAAAATTTTCAGTCCAGCCGCTTCCTTGGCTAAAGAGTCGACAATACGAATAACTTTACTCCTGCCTGTAACGTTATCCTGAGGTGAACACATCAGGATAACGTTAGCATCTACCGAGGCTTTGGCTGAATCTTGGTGGCACTCTAGTACTAGCCCTGAGGTTATACGTTGTCTGTTCAAGACTGATAGGGCTTGTGTACAATCAGTGCAGATTGTTATGTTTTTGCCAGAAATTCCTTTCCTGGTTATTTCTTTTGTGGCGATTGAGATACCAGCCAGTTCTGTTTGAACCATGCTGGTATTTTTTCACAATCCTCACTTAATCTTTAAGCTTAGTGATCTGAAGTACACCCCACATCCTGAGCCTTCTTTGGTTTTTGAGCCGTCTGTATATATGCTTATTGCATTTGTAGCATCTGACTCTGTCTTCTGTTTTGTTTGTATTCTATAAGGTTTATAAAACACAAACCTGGGATCAATCGCATCACTGTCTGCCTGTAGCAGAGGTTGCGGAGTTAGCACTTCTCGAATAATTGAGGCTTAGCCTCAATTATTCCATTTCTACACCAGCCGTGCGCAATCGTAACATGGCCATTAACGCAACCTCCTTAACGTACATGTAGTATCTCAAGAATGTCAACCCAACAATTCGTGAAGTATTTAAAAAAAAAAGAAACAAAAAACACAAGAATTTTCTTAATAATATTTATTTGAAATAGGAAAGTGTTATGTTTGAAGGTGGTTGACAATGTATCGTGGTGTATTTCATCAGTTCGTACTTCCATTGTCTAATATAATATAAATTGATTTGGAAACCCTGAAAATAACAATCAAAAAATTAATAAGATTAACGGAAAATAACAATTTTATTAAACAAAAAACTGAAATTTTTGAAAAATATTATTTTTGATTTTTATTTTTCAGCTTTTATTAATATTTCAATTTTCATTTGTTTGGTTGTTGCTTGTATGTTATTTCTTTGTGAATTCAGAAACTACATTTCTATAAAAGTCGTGTCAATCGGTTGCAATATCCGTTAAAAAAACTTAAGTGTCGTCGAATAGATCAGGACTTTGTGAATTGACTTGTGGTTCTTGGCAGAAACTCTACTTTGGCCAAACGGGGTTAGGTTATGTTAGGTTAGGTCCAAAGTAGCTGAGTCTATTCGACCCTCCACCGAACCCGCTTCTCAAAGAAGCCGATTAGTTTATACGGTGAGTGGTCTTTCAGGCCAGACAGTAAGACTACGGCTCTGCACAACTCCAAAAACCTGATTTGGTCCTAGCGGGGCGGGCACAAAGTATGTGCTCTGCTGTTTCATCATTTTCCGGACAGAGGCGACACACACTGTCTTCTGACAGTCCGAGTCTCTGCATATGATGAGTCAAATGACAGTAACCTGTAAGAAGGCCTGTTTGACATCGTAGTTCATCCCTACTGTAGTCCAACAACTGTATGGTATCAAGCTTTGGAAGGTGAATGAACGCCTTGGAGTGAGCCAATCCTGGAAGATTCTGCCAGTCCATAAAACTTCTCGCCATCCAGGTGTTGAATATTTGTTTTTCAAAGCCCAAAGCGATACCAATGACAAGTTCTGGCTAGCAATCCACACCAGAGACATTCTGTTAAGTCTTTCTATCGGGGAGAGTCGTTTTGGGCAATTTGCTATCGATTAAGACGTTTCCTTTTCTCGGAGGATCCAGTCTTCTCTACTCGGAAACAGTACTTTATGAAGCAGTTCTTAGATGGCCGTTGGAGGCATAAAACCAGAGGTAATTTTCAGTATGTTGTGACTTCCAGTATCAACCAACAGTGTGTTGCACTCTGCATTGAATTGATTTATGCAATTGGCAATGTACACAAGTCTATATGCAGTCCATCTAGACTCTCTCTCTCCAGAAAAATGTGGAGAGGAGGTAGATCTAGAAATATCCCCATGGCC